TTGGTTTTAGAAGTGGGATATGTGGCAGGGATCTGCTAGGGCCATTACCATGGCATTGGGTTTCCAGCTTGGCTTCCCAGTGTTTGTCATGTGCTGATTGGCAGCCAAGTGGGCAAACAAGGCAGGAGAGGTGATTGGGTTAATATCAGATCAGGTTCTATGAAAAGTCGTGGATTCTAAGAACAGAAGTTTCTGGAAAGCACACAAATAAGTAAAATATTCCCAAGAAGTGTGGGAGAGCAGAGAGAAGGTTACCAGGGGTTTTCTGGGTTTTTTTGCTTTCCTTCTCCAATTGACTGCCCTGTGAATTTAGTCTCCTGCCACCCTGGCTCTCTTACCTCTGGAACCTTGTCTTCCTTCCTTTTCCTAGGGCATGGAAAAAGGGTGCTTTTAGGGAATGCAGTAGGAGTTTGTGGCTGCCACCTTTGCCTTTCCCATTCCTCACTTCCTTTTATTTTATTTAGTTTGTCCTTGTTGATGGCAGAAACATATGATGGGTTATTCCTGGGTGCTGGGCTGTAGCAGAGGATCCCCTCAGCTCTGTCCCTCTGCTTGGCTCTGCAGCCACCTTTGAGCCCAGGAATCTCTGATGCCTCCTCCCAGCTGTCTCAGGGCTGGAACCCAGCTGAGCCTGTGCTGGTTCTGCCTGGGCTGCAGCTCTGCAGCCTCTGTGGTTTGGGTACTGGCAGCCTCTGGCCTCACACTGCTTGGTGCAGCTGCAGTTCCAAGAAATGCAGTGAATCAGAGCCCTGGCCACAGGCCAGAGGTGACACCAGGAGCCTGTGAGAACAGAGAGGGTGCCGGGGGGCCTTGGGGAACTGCACTTGTGGGTGGAAGGGTGAGGCAGAGGCTCAGGGGAAGGTGGAGGTATTAATAAATTTTCACAATTGTTGCACTCCAAGAGAAGATGGGGGGGATGGAACCCAAATAAATGATAGTGTGAACTTAGGGCGAATCTGGCAGTGAAGCAAGATTTCCTGGAGTCACAAGGTAAGAACAGCGTGTGAGTGGTTTGGCTAAAAGACAAAAGCTTGAGAGCCTCTTGAGTGTTGGAAATTAGGTAGCATGAGAAGCAAATATTTGTGTCCCCTGTACATGTAAGCACAGGGTAATCACAGAATGGCAGAACAGGTGGGGTTGATAGGGACCTCTGCAGATCATCCAGTCCAACCCCCTGCTAAAGCAGGGTCACCTGGAGCAGGTGACACAGGAATGTGTCCAGGTGAGGCTGGAATATCTCCAAGGGGGAGACTTCATGCCCTCCCTGGGCAGCTGTTCCTGTGCTCTGTCACCATCAATGTAAAGAACATTTTCCTCATGTTGACGTGAAACTTGTGTTTTAGTTTATGGCTGTACATAAGAGTTGCTTCAAGGAAAAGCGGGGCCACTGAATCTACTTTCCCATGTGACTTCTGTCTCTTTCTCCTGGCTATTTGAACACCTCTGCACATCTATGTATGGGATGAAATGTGCCTGTGAAGTCTGTATTCAGACAGTCTGACCCTGCATGCAGGTGTCAACAGCTCCATCGTGGGGCTGCCCAAACTGTGTAGGGGACCTTCCTTACAACTTGCTGCCAATGCTAGCAGAAGTCACCAGAGGATTTTACATTTTTTCTGGTTCTGTTTGCCATTCAGTCCTTTCACTCCTTCCAAAACTGACTTTTGCTGCAGGAAGGAGCTTCTTGCACAGACTAGAGGAGAAAAATTCTTCAAAATGTTCCATTTCCCCATTCTCACCCAATTATCACACTGATACCCACATGCCTGTACACCAGGCTCCAGGATGAAAGTAGTTCTGCCAGTACCTGTAGCACTGGTTAGCAGATTTTTTTTGTTGTAAATTGGGTTGTAACTGACAATAATGACTCATACTGTAAGCAATAATTTGAATGTTAATAACCCCACAATTGAGAGTTCATTCTACCCAGTGATTGGCATGCTGTGGGCAAATATGGAATTGGGTCATGGAGTGTTTTCTTTTATTTCCCAGTGGAATTTTTGTAATTTCATATCTCAGCCTTCAAAGCTGGTGATCAAACTGGTGGTTAAAATGGCTTTTGGTAATGTTGGCATTATATTAGCAGGCGTTTGTACTCTGAATCTATTCAGTCTGAGAAGACATGGGATATCCTACCTAGTAAAGATCCCAGCCTTTGGCCAGTTGCTGTTGTCCCAGTCCCAGTTTCTCTGTGCCAGTCCAAGGCACCTCTTTTTAGCACCATCGGCCTCTTTGTTGCTTCTCCCTGATTGTGGTTCCAGTCGGATTCTTGTGCAAAGGCTGGGAATGTCTGACTTGCTGGGTGTTTTATAGTCTTTGTATGAACACTGTTAATACTTTGCCAGAAATACTTCATGTCCCAAGATGAGATTTGAAAGGGGCTCTGCTGTGTTCTGCAAAGTGCTGTAATTTATCAATTTCCAGTGGTGATATTTTGGAGGTGATGGTGTGATTGGAGAAGCACAGATTTTGGCTGGATCATTTGCTAGAAATGAAAAATACTGAGAAGAATCTGACAAATACAGTTGCAAAACAATTTTTGATAATCTAATCATTCCTGAAACCTAGTGACAATGGGAGTGGGATGACTGGACATACTCTGTGTCATGGTTGCTGGATTTTCCTGATTCTTTGCCAGTTAGAATAAATCTTCTTTGCTTGTCAATCAGGTTGAAAATAATCATTCAGCCTTTTATTGTAGTGAAGTACTAAGGTCTGGAAATTATGTTATTCCTTTAGGTTGTCCCATTATTTTTTATTTCTTTTACTTTTGTACTATTATGGTAAATGTGCATTATGAGAAAACCAGCCTTTGCCTCAGTAAGAGTTGGAATGAAATAACCAAGACAATGAGGCAAGGCAGTCAGAAAGCATGATACAAAGCCTAAGTAATATCAACATCCCATTTTATTTATATTTTATGTGGTAAAACCTGAAATAGGTCATGTTTAAATGGGAGCTTTGGCAAGCACACTAAAATGCTTTCACTGTGGAATGTATAAAGTAGGCATTCCATTAAAACCTATCAAGCTTGAAATTACTAATGATAAACCTTAAGGAAGTTAATAAATGGTTAGAATAGTTCTAGTGTATGGAAGCCACATTTGGACATTTGTAATCAGTAACTTGTGCTACTCTGGGAACAGATGGTTCTGACTTACTGTGGAGATTTCCAGGAAATGTTTTAAGTGTCCAGAAATGGCTGGTATTTAAAGAAGTGATTAAATAGCCAAGCAAAAATTTTTGTGTGCCTTTTCTTCAGTGGTCTTGGAATCCTCAGCACCTCACCTGCTTGGCCAAAGCAGCTGTGGTTGCAGTCTCTGACTGCAGTGCCTGAGTGTTTTCAGGCTGATTCATCTGGAGCTTGTTTGAATGGCCAAAGCCACTTCTTACAGAAGTGGGTAGCTAAGGTGTTTATTTTTCCCTTATGCTGTCTGAGTCCTGTAATAGTTTCCTCCAGGTTGGGAGCCTGTGAGACTGTTTTCATCCATAATTATAGGATGAAAGGAAAGGAATCCCAGAGCAGCAGTGAGGAATTTGTGATTTTGGAGTCTGTTAGCAAAACTCCCATGCGAGGGCACTGCCAGTAATGACACTGTGACCAGGGCAGGGCATTGTGAAGTAGCTCTTCATCCCTGGCTGAGTATATTTAGATATCAGTCCCCAACCTTGCCGGCTCCAGGGATGGTTCATCGAAGCTCATCTAACTGAAGACTTCATTTTTATACCTGTTTGCATCTCCCTTCCCACTTACTGCACATTGGAGTGGCCTGTCATGAAGGATGACCAGCAGCTATGAATCTCGTCAGAAATACTGCAGCTTTGCACAAGACATCTCTTATGCTGCAGTCCAATTTGGGTGAGAGATCCAAGGAAAGGCTTCTGCCCTTATGCACAAGCCTGTCAAGTTCAGACTCCTGATAAAAGCCATTGTAAAGTAAAATAGAAGCTGTTCTGCCTGCCAGGACTTGTTAATTTTAAATATTCCAGCTTATGCCAGTTATTTTTTGTACGTTTTGTTAAACCTTCTGGACTTACAGGTGAGATCCAAGAGCAGCCCTCTCAAGTGAAGAATCCTAGCCAGGCTGGGAACACTGAGGGCAGGAAGGCCTGTGTGTGCTGTTGTGCCCTGAAAGCACAAAGATGGGAGGGAGCTGAGAGCATCTGCTGAGCTGCTGATGCACTCAAGGTGTTCATAAGGTTTCCATCTTACAGTTTTTTCCAGTGAATAATAAAGGAAGTTCATGCTGCAGTCAGAGGGAGGCACGTGTATGCTTTCTCTTGTATCTCATTTTCACAGACCTTAGAAATCTTTGAGACCTCTCCTGCTGTGTTGGATTTTATATAACATGGCAAAGAGATTTAAAAAATAAGAGTGACATGAGGGAGGAGGCAGAAATGGCAGAACTGCATACAGATCCAGGAGCATGGATGAAAATCTTTTCCATGTGACTTTATAGCAATAAAACGTAGTAGGAGTCCACAATCTGAAATACATGCAGGGGGCTGCTCATTTGGATCATTTAGTAACTCATTGCCTTGACTTTTCATCTGCAGGCTGGATTACTGGTTTAGATGCTATTAGGAGCTGTGCAACTACCTCCTGGTCACCTACCTACTGAGATTGTATAGAAATCTTGAGTTTCAAAGCTTCTAAATTCTGAAAGCAAAAATTTTGGAGTAAATGGTGTTGCAGAAGATAATGTGCTCCAGCTACCTGGTTATTGGTTTTTTTCCCAACAGTGCTAGAGGGTTTCAGAGGATCTGTGGGAGATTGTATCCTAAGGATTTGGTTACTAATCAAAGCACCCTGTGGGGCAGATGGAGCTGAAGTGACTTCTGGCATCTCAGTTCCATTACTACCATCTGTGCTTTTAAAATTAGCAATAAAAATACATTTTATTTGGTACAGAGTCAAGAAATTTAAACTTCAGTCCTCAGATCGCAAAGGTGTGAGTCAAAACAGCTCTCTTAGTAATTTTGTTTGTTTGTTTTCTTAGGATCTTGTCTCTTTAGTTGTGGAGGAAGAATTTCAGAAATGTGAGAATTCAGCCCTCTGTTTCCCAGTTCCTGTTCCTCATCCTGTGATCCTGGAAATTGGCTGTGGCTCTGGAGCAATTGCTCTGAGTCTGCTCTGTAAACTGCCACAGGTGAGCTCCCTTCAGTGCTCCTGGTGCAATAGATGCCTGTGTCAGGAGACAATCCCACTCTGCTCATCTTCACTGAGATGTCACAAACTTCTCTGATGGAACTTTGGCAGCTCAGGTCTCTGAGAGACTCTGTAAGTTTCTAGTGCATAGAGGGATATTTGGGAATTGCTCCCTCTCCCCATCTGTCTGCAGGAATAGCAGAGACAATCGGAATGAAAGAGGTGAATGTGCTCATTCTTGAGCTGCTGCAGCTCACTAATAATCGCCTTACCTTGAAGCATTGGTGGGTGTTGATTTAAGATACTAACCTGGGCTGAGGACAGGAGGGACTGAGGCATGGGCACACACACTATTAGTTGAATTTATGGGGCAGTCATCTCTAAAAACCACCTTGCTGTGAATCAAAAGTTCTTGTCTCTAGGAAACTGAAGACTAAATGATACAGGAAATGGATTACCATAGCAGTGTCAGTACTTGGGATCAAACAAATCTCACTGCCACAACTTTCAAACCATGCTTTTGTGGTCTTTTGTTCCCTAGTTACAACCCACAGCTTCTGAACAGAGTCAAAAGAGCAGGAAGAGGACTGAGATCTGGGTGACCAAAGCCCTTCTTGACCCTGATTCTTGTGGCGTGTAACATCTTTATGGAGATACTCTTGGTCAAGAAAATGAGAATTGAATTCGAGATCTCATTGCATGTGATCAAGGGAAAAGTATTTGCCTCTCCTCAGAACTGCAGACCAGCCAGGTCCTTCTCAGTAATGAGAATTGCTGTGGCCAGCCCCTTCTCTTGTAGAAGTATGAGCCCTGCTGTGTAAGAATTAGAGGTTGATGCCTCTACTGGAAGGGGTTTTCCTCCTCCCAGTGACCTGAGAAGGTTAATATTTGAGCTTCATGACTTCAGAGTATAATGGCTCTGATTTCCTGAGCTAGGAGAAGAGCTTCATGCTCTTTTCCTTGCTTGTTAACTCAAATAGCAGTGTCAGTGTGTAACTCATAACAGTTCTTTCCCAGCCCAAACTGCTGTGCCTAGGGAAATAAGGAGCCGTGACTGATTAGAATTAGTGGTAGCCACACTCTGGGTAATCTCCTTAGTGTTTGAGGCAGAATTTGGCACTAAGGTACTGAGAAAACAGCAGCAACTTTTCATTTATGGTCACAGCTATGTTCTTCACCTTAAGCGTGAGCTTCATGTGTGTGGGTGCTGGCCTGGCAGCATGAAATGAATCCCCTTAGGAGTGGTGGCAAATCACACCATCTCCAAATGCAAAGCACTTTCTTCAAGCATGTGTCCTCTGTGTAAATGCTTACCAACATCTGGGCTTAACAAAGCATGGAGCGTTAGGCCTTTGCCTGTGGTTTTTCCCAAGGTGGACTTGAAGGTCAAACAAATCTCTCTTGTGGAGCCCTGTCTCTTACCATTATGCTGGAGAGCTGTCAAATACTTAACACACAGTCAAGTACATGCAGTCAATACAGGCAGTGAATCTGGTGTAAGGACTGCAGTGGAATAACTGGGTAAAAGGTGTCTGCATAACAGAAAAATGCCAGAATCTGTGTCCAAGGGGCTGTGTAGTGTTGGGAGGGATCCTGTCTGTGCTAGGGAGGATAAGTCCAACAACATGACCTTCCTGCAGTCTGTGCCTAGCCCAGACTAGCCAGTGTTGAGTCTCACCCTGCCAGGAGCAGTGAGGGATCAGGTGAGGTGAGTCACTATGGCTCTGCTGTTGTCTGTTCTGGTGGGCTGCTGGCTGTGCCACAGAGAGCCTTCAGTCGCCTTAGTGCCTTACACACATCAGTCATGATCCCAGCTATGCCCTGCATGCATTTCTCAGGAGCTGTTCCTTTCAGGAGCCAAGAGTGAGCAGTCTCTTGTCAATTTTGATCTTGCATATTTGGCAGAGCGTGTCTGCTCGGTAATCTTGATGTTACAACACCTGCTTGGTGTTATGTGGGATTTGTTGTTTTTTTCTGTTCCAGAGCAGAGTCATAGCCATAGATAAAGAGGAGGCTGCCGTGGATCTCACTAGAGAGAATGCACGTAGGTACAATACCACATATTACTCATTTCTTTTGTAAATTGTTGCAAGAGTCCTCAATATTTGTACATGTGGTTCATGTTTATCAGCAGTGGAAACCAGAGAATGTTTAGTTGTTGAACTCCTAAAGTGTGTAACAATTCAGAAAAAAAAAAGGCATATCTTTACCAGAGTGTGCTTCTTTGCCTTGTGAATGTGCTTTGCAAAGACAGCAGCCTAAATAAAGCAGTGGTGGGTTTTCAAAAACCCATCATGGGTTTTCAAAGTGTTTTTTGGTAACTACTCTTATCCCTGTCCGTGAACTCAGGAAGCTGAGGACTAAAGTAGGAATGTTTATGTCACTTAGGAGGTTCAGGACAAGTGTATCCTGAGCCTTTCTTTCTCTGGATCCCTCAATCATTATTGTTATGCTTGTTTCTGTCCTTGCTCCTCCAGAAATGCTTGCACAGTCAAGTAGCACTTTTCTTTTGATGTGCTCAGTGGTGTCCCTCAGCATTTTCCCTGCAGTCGTAGTTTGGTGGGAATGGTTCTGCTGGATTCTGTGCAGTTCAGACACCTATGCTGTGGCAGGATGGATGTTCAGAGCTGCTGGCTCAAACACCTTGTGCTGAAGTTAGAGAGATATGTCAGGTTGTCATTGTCCTTCCTAGTGGCTCCACTTCCTCAGCTGGTTCTTCTGTCAGGTTGTTCTGGACCGTCACTACCACAGGGAACCCCAGAGCTGGAATCCCAGCATGCTTCTGCATCCCTGCAGGCTTTGTCAAATGAGCTCCAGATTGCACTCACGTTCTCAATAACTGCTGGGCCCTAGGCATTAATTAGAGCCATCTCAGAAAGAATTCCTGTTGCTATTTCTCATGGAGTTCAGTACAACTGTGAGTCTCAAGAGGTTTTCATTAACTGGGATTTCTGTCCACAGATCCAAATACCTCTCTTTTCCCAAGCTGCTGCTGGCATTGGGAAGGCTACTTCTGGTGCTGGCTGCACTGGGCTGCATTTCTTCACTTCTTGCAAGTCTTAGCTTGTGTGTGAGTCTGAAGAGCTGAGTAGGAACAAGCCCTTCCCAAACTGGTCACCTCACTGTTATCCTTTGCCTCCTAGCCCAGTTACAGGGAATGGGGAGCAGAGGTCTTCTCCTAATGTGTCAGTGTCAAACCAAATTCTGTTGCAATTTTTCATAGATATAATAAAAGCTGGCCAGATCTTTGTCTCCTTGATAAACTAACTCTTATCTCTGGGGAAAATTGTTTTGCTTATTAACATTGCTTGTTGGCTCAAGAGTGGATGAGGGAGTATAAATGCCATGTCAGAGAGCTTCATATTTCTCCATGGATATTTTCAGTGCATCTTTGTGATCTTGTCCCTGGCATGGTGCCCTGTAGCTCTTGGGAGAGAAGCCAGCAGGATAAGCTCTGTTACTGCTTGACTGAACCCAGCTTAGATCTTGCCTGCTTTTCAGAGCTCCCTTATCCCAGCTGTGTTCAATAAATGCTTAGATGAGCCTTAGTGGATCAGTCTTGGTGCCAGATCCATCTGGGCACATGGCACACAGTGCAGGAATCCCTCCCTTTCCTGATGCCTGTGTGTCCTGATAGGGAAGGACCACAGACCCACAGCAAAGGGAGTAGAACTTGGGTGTAAAGGCCACTGTGGTGGGAGGAGAGAACATGCTGGGAAGATCTTGGCAGTTGTGGATATATGTGTATCAGATAAGAGGTGCAATATTTAATGATCTGTTTGTAGAATGTACTGTTCATGAACACAAATACACCTAATCTTTCTTCTTTCTGTTCTTGCATCTGGAATTTTGCAGGCTGCAACTCCAAGAAAGGATTCACATCATCCACCAAGATGTTTCACACAGTAACTCTTTTCACTATTACAATCCCCTTTGTCTTTTTCCCCTTTTTGTCTTTGATGGGTGGAGGGAGGCATGAGAGACAGCCAAGGGACCACTCTGGGATACAGGCAACAGAAGAGTGTTGAAGTTAACAGAGAAAAAGGTCAGTAAGAAGTGAGCCAGTGAAGCTTTTCCCTGCAGAGATTTCCAGGGCAGATGATCAGCGGATAGAAGTCCATGATTATATCAAAAAGTGAATTGTTCCTGGGTTTAGATATCACAAGGTTGCATCTGAGCTGGGAGTCCAGGTGCTCTTTACTTTTGCTGGGGAGAGGTAAATATATAAAGAGTGTAATTCTTTCCGTGCTGACACAGAGGCTTTAGATAAACATGTACATGTCTTTCTCCCCATTGATGTTAGAAGGAGCCCACATATTTATCTTAGATTAAATGCCCAACCTTATTCACCTGAATTTAGGTTAGTTGAACCAGGAAAGGATACTTTTCTTCCCCAGAGCCAGCTGAAACCAGTTAAAACAAACATTTGGTGGGGCCTATCCAGTTAACAGCTGTGGAGCCAGGAGCTGCAGCACTGTGGGTTCATTAGCACACCTTTCTGACACTTTTGACACTCTGCTACCTCTTAGAGCTGTAAGCCCTGTGCCAAGAGGCTGCCTGAGGACAGTGTCATGCTCACATGGTTCCATGAGGTCTGATTCAGGGCTGGCCTGTGTCAGACAGCAGCAGGAGTGTAGCTCTGCAGAAGAGCAACCCATTGTTGTTTTTGCTGAGGGGCCCTGGCTCTGCAGCTCGTTGAAGGTCCTGCTGCAGGTCTGTAAGAGGGAGGATGTTCATCTGAACAGCCAGTCTGAGCTCCCACTTAGGCCTTTGTGGGCTCTCTGAGTTCTGGTTGTTGCTTTAGATACAGGTGGGCAATGAACTCCAGGGCATCAAGCTCCTGTGCTTTTTATCATGTTTTGTTAAGCAGGCTCTTATATCTTAAATGATACTTTGCCTGTGCTTTCCTTTGTATCACTCTTGCACTCCTGGGACAGGGAAAAAGGCATGCTGTTGCAGAAAGAAATAGGATGAAATTTTATTATCACAAAGCAGAACCAAACACATTTACATGTGCCTGGAGACAGTTCCCTGGGGAGGGTCTCAACACTGAGCTTATAGAGAAGATGCTGTGGTTGAGAGCTGCTTGTGATTCTTTTTCTTTTCTAGGTTCTGCCAAACAGCTGCTGCTTTGGGGCCCCATAGATGTCATAGTCAGTAACCCCCCATATGTTTTCCATGAAGACATGGCTTCCTTGGATGCAGAAATCCTCCGGTAATCAGACAAAGAGATTTTTCCTCTCCTATTCCTTGAAGCAAGGTTTTCTGTCTGCTTCCTTGTACTACACAGAATTGCACACAAAATATGCAAATGTAATATACACATGCAAAATATAGGTGTGTTTATTTGGGATATAATAATACAGGCTTTGATACTGCTTGCAGGCCTGAAGCAACATGGAAGTGTTTTAAAGATTTATTAAAATGGAAAAAGCACACAGTTTGAAATTAGCAAGTTCCCAATCCAAAACTCATTGTCATGCATGTGATGAGAAAGTCCTGCCCCCACCTCTGTACAAGATGTGTACCAGAGCTGGTTCTGACAGCTGAGCTTTCTGCATCCCAGCTGGCTCTGCTGGGTTAGCTATAGCCTGAGCTGATGTTTGGCATGGATCAGTCAACACCCTTGTACTCTGGCCAGCTTAGAGAGAACAGACCTGTGTGTTGGAACTATGAGACCCCAGCTACAATTGGCTCCTAATTTTCAGAAATACTTCAGGGGATATTTTCTGGTTGCGCTAAATGTGGGATTTCTCAGCCCAGTGGTAGCTGCCTTCTCCCTCCCTATATTTCCCATAGAAGGGGTGAGTGCTGTCTGTCACCTGCTCTAGGAACACTGGATTTCAGGTGTGTCAGGTGCACCTTTCTTTGTGGGGTCATGTATTCTCAAGGGCCACAGGAATTGCTGTCAAATGTCTTTTTCTTACACTCCAGCTATGAGGACCTTGATGCCCTGGATGGGGGAGATGATGGCATGAGAGTCATCAAAACAATTCTGTCTTTGGCTCCTTCTCTTCTGAAAGTTTCTGGGTAAGTACTACCCCTTTTGAATTTCATGTATTTTATTCATCCATTTCTGTAAATTCTGTATTTCCCTGTAGGAAAACAAATCAGAGGGAAAATAGTTGCCAAATTGTCTCCTCATTGCCCCAGTTAATAAGAGCAGTTTTTAAAATGTCATGTGTAAGCAAAATTAGCTTGAAAATGGTTAATAAAGTGGTATGAACCCTTTCTTTGGTTGTTGGTGGTGTTTCCTGGTCATTAGTGAAGTGAGAATCTTTGAAGGTCAAAGCAGCAACAAAAAGAAAATGGGAGAGAGTAGCTGAGAAAGAGAGTGCAGAAAGCAGGGGAGCTTTCTAAGGTGAGTAACTGATGGAAGGAGAAGCAATGGAGATCTCTTTGAGGGTGGATGTAGATCTCCTCTTCCCTCCCACCCTTTAATTAGGGGAAACCTTTTTGTTGTACCAGTATACAATGCTGAATATCCCAGGAGAAAGAAGATCAGTCAGGGATAGCTTCTTAAATTTCTCCATGATTAATATTCTAAAGTGATTGTTCCTATTGTCTGTCATGTGGGATACATTTTGAAGGTCAACGTGCTGATACCCCAAAGTCTGAGTGTACTGTTCAAGTGCCAGGGCATTCACACATCCTGTTGAATATTCCTGACATTTGGCCACCATAAGAGAGGTCATTGAAAATCCGCTGTTTGAGAAGAATGGGAATATTGAGAGGCATAGTGCATGCAGAATTCATTCCTCATGCTTTGCATGACCACAAGAGCAGAAGATGCTCCTCATAATTTCCCAGCATTAGAGACTGGTCCGGTGGGGTTGTTTGTTAAAATGATTTATTTTCCTTCTCTTTTTGCTTGTTTAATAAGGTGGAGCCCCCATTGAGGAGCGGAAGTTTTTTAAGGTCAGAAATGAGATCCACACCCAGCTTGTAGTTAGCCTGGTGAATTTGTAGGGAGTATTCAGTGTGGGATGTTTTAAGAGTTCTCAGGAGAGCGCTTGATGGTTTGGCCTGTGTCCTTTGCCTGCTAAATGTGTCTCTTGCTGTGTCCCAGGCCATAACCAGCTCCATCACTCCCTGTGCCTGTGAGCTGGGGTGGTTCTGCTTTGTCATGGGAGGGGACGTGGGGAATAAGCCAGTGTCATAAAGCCTGGCAAAGATGGAAATAGCCCTGCAGTGTCCAGGTCTAGTCCTGGTGCCCTAAATGAGCTTATTTGATCAGTTCTGTGTAGGCATGAATGCTGGTGTTGTTTTCATAACTGCTTCATGGAGACATTTACTGTGGAAGAATGTGTGTTCTGACTTCTACTTCATGTCTTTCACTGCTTATACACAGAGGGACTTCAGGCTGCCAGTGCTCAGTGTTCCTGCAGCATAAAAGCTGCCTTCTGCCCTTAAACCTTTGGAGGTTTCAGAAACACTGCTGGTGGTACCCGTGGATAGGCTTCAGAAGGGCTCATTACATCTCGATACAAGGCTTTAACCGCTCACAGAGTACCATGAGAATTCCTCCCAGGATCAACACTTTATCCCCTGAAGGAGGCAGCTGGGATCTGTGTCTTATGTGGACAGCTATGATCTGGTTTAGGGTTGTTGGATTGCACTGTGTTTACTGACCATTTCCTGCAGTGATCAGAGTCATACAGAAAGAAAGATCTTAATTTTTATAGGTTTAGCAACCCAATGCATGTCCCCTGTTCCACTCCCAAATGTGTCTTTTCAGGAGTGTGTTTCTGGAAGTTGATCCCCGGCATCCAAATATGGTGGAGCACTGGCTACAGGCACACCCAGAGTTACTGCTCACTCTCCATGCCATTCACAAGGACTTTTGTGGCAAGTAAGTCCTTCTTTGCCTTCACGTTTTTGGGGGTTTTGTGTCCTATGTTCCTGCACCTGTATGTATTGAGTGAGTCCAGAGTAGCTTCACAGCTGAAGCCAGTCTGACAAAATAGGGGCTCCCTGGTAGTATCTCAGCCTTCTGGAATCCTGAGACAGGATAGTCTTTGGCAATTGATGCAAGTGTTTGAGTCAGAAATTCTGACAGGTGAGCATTCTGATGGGGTGACTGGCTCTGGTGGGGTTATTGCCATTGGAAAATTACTGCTTTCATAGGGTGGAGGTAGAGGCACATTGTCCTTAGTGAGACTTAAAGCTCTGATCTTTCTTTTTCCCACAGGCCTAGGTTTCTGCACATCCAGAAACAGAGCAGCTGATAACTGTGTCAGACATAACTCTCCTTTCAAGGATGCTTTTTTGCTCTTGAGCCCAGCTCAACAGCTTGTTGAAAACCCCTTCTGCCTTGTGAAAGGAATCTCCATTCCCCAATGTTGGACTCTCCTTGCAGTGATAGACCCCTCATTTCCTGACACAGACCTCATCCAGAGATGCAGAAGTTCAGCTGAGCATGTGGAAGTGTTTCACCTTCCTCAGGGAACTGCATGAAACATTTTAGTCTGCTCTGCTAAAGTGACTCAGTCATCTCAGGACCCAAGACAGAAGAGTTCACAGCTCCAGATTAAAAATACAACTTTTCAACATGCCAAATCATCCATTTGGCCTAGAAAGAATTTAATTTTATTTTTTTAAATTGGCCTTGAGATACATTTATATGGAATGTGACCAGATGGGATGATGATAAGCCCAAACCCTGGCTTATACTGGCACATGGATATGCAGGTATAACAGGACATAACTCTTGTGCACATTTCAAATGCTGTTCAGTTCCAGGATCCTGATGCTCCAATAGCAAAGCAGCTTTTGTTTTCCACTCCTGCTGAGTGATTGTCTCTGAAGGATCAGTGCACATGTTACAGCACCTGAATTTACAGCCCTTGACACTTGGTGGATGCTGCCAGAAACAGTCAAAGCATTTTAATAAAGACAATGCTTCAGATCAGGGTCCTTAAAAGAATTTCACTGCTACTATTGAGAGATGCTGGCAGGCCAGATCTGGCATCCACACATTGCTCTGATAGTAACAGAAATGCCTAAATATACCACATGAGGCATTTAATTGCAACACTTTACAGAGAAAGCCAGAGCCACTACTTTGGTTTTGCAGATGGAGAAGTTGAAAAACAGGAGATGGAATGACCTGCACAAAATTTGACAAGCTGAGTTTGGAGTAGGACCTAGTCTCTTGACAGGCATGGGAATAGCTGAGGTCTGTCTCTTTGGGAAGGGTGACTCAGGCTAGGGCTGCCTGAAACAGCACTGAGAGAAGTCGCTGAAGTGGACAGTCAACATCATGTCAGTGTAAATAATGGCAGGATTGAATTCAAGCTGCTGTTGCTGCTGTTTCCAGTGGTGCAGGTTCCCTTCCGCACCATAGCTAGCCAGGGAAGGAAGGAAAGCAAGCCAAGGAAAGGGTCTGGTCTGCCAGTCCAGATGGAGGTGAGCACTCAGGAGGGGTGGGAGTGTCCAGACAGGGCCCTGCTGTGTGTGTGTGTGCCAGGGAGGAGCTCCCAGGCTCTGTCCAGGCTGACCTGGGGCTGCACAGCCTGAGATATCAGGCAGGACATGCAGCAGCAAACTGAGTCTGTTGGAAGGCTGCAGCAGGTTCAGAGGGTGTTACATGAGCACTGATACATCTGCTTCCTTTCCCCTCTTCCACACTCTCACTCCTCAAATGAGTCTTTCCTCCATCCTTTTAACTCCTGAATGTCAGCCCTGCTTTCCCACAGACACCTGAGCTCTCTCTGATGAGCCAGCACTTGGGTTCCAGCTGGAACCTTTCCCTCCTCACAGCTCTGTTCACAGTCTTGCCTTTCACCCACTGGACATCTCACGCTATCTTTATCCACCCCAGTAGTTTAACCATGTCCTATACACTTTTTACTTGAATTTGTGAGTCTTCTCTGGCCTGCAGTACCTGCCCTGGTTAAACACAGTAGAGGAAATCTAGGGGAGGAGAAAAGAAAAATAGGTCAGTTAAAGTGCAGTTGAGCATAGGTTTGGAAATACCATTTCAGTGCAGCTGATTTCTGGCCTCCTAGAGCCATGAGCACAAAGTACAGTCAAAGGGGTGGTATTTTGTGTGGTTGTGGACTTTTTTTAACAGTAATTTAGGGATATTTTTTAAGTTCAGTTTTTCAGACTGTTTAAAAATTAAATTTAAAGAAATGAGTTCTCAGATTTCTTCTGGGTGTTGGCAGTGTTTGTGTATGAAGCAGAGCATTATGCACAGCCTGCTTCTGCAGGAGACCTTAAAAGCTGGATAGTCCATGTGCTGATGGGAATGTTAAACAGCATCATGCTGTATTTTTTAGGGGGTGGGCTGGTTCCCTGCAGCAGGCTGGTGTTAGGTGGCCCTCTGAGAGTGACAGTGTCTGGACTGCAGAAGGGAGTGTGCTTTTTCATGGAAGCATCAGTCAATCCCTTGTCTGAGCCCTGAGCAGGACAAATCCCATGCAAGACAGACTATTGGTCTAATCCAGTAGCACAAGTGTTAAATTCTATATTTGTCACTACAACACTTGCATTTCTATGTATTTGCATTGTATAGTCATTATATATCTTGGAAAATCACATGGTGCTGCTGACCTTTTCATAAAAGGAAAAATTGCTGCTCCTCCCAGGAGGCTGGATGTTCCTGTGGGACTCGCATCCGAGGGAATGTGCTGCTGTAGTACAGCATGTTCCTCGGTGTTTTACACAGATTGGCCCGGGCTCCTTTTGGTACAGAAGCACTGCAAAGCTCTTTGGAGGTTTGAAGGAGCCTGGCTGGAACCCTGGGTCGTGTCTGTGTTGCCTGAGGGCAGGAGGCCGAGCTGCCACTTGGCAGAGCCCTGGGCACATGAGCTCTGCAGAGGCAGAGCTGCTCCCTGCAGCCACAAAGGCTGAGGCTTCACTCGGCATCCTGCATAATCCAGTATCTGACATACACTGAATTTTCTGGGTCTTGGGAACTGTGTCCAAATGGTGACTTGATTCCTGAGGTGATGCTGTCAGAGGGGGGCTTTGTTTGCTTTCAGGACCCTGAGGAGCAGGGTTGTGCTCGTGCTCACATCTGTGTTTTGGGGGTTACCAGGTGTGTGGTATTTGCTGGGCTGACACTGCCCTTCCCGAGGAGGAGCCGCTTTGGCAGAGCCCTGCAGATGGAGCTGCGGTCCCAGTTTAGCTGTGTCCGTGCTGGAGACAGTTCTGCCTCAGCCTGCCCCTTTGGGCAAGGTGGAGGCTCAGGAGAGCGAGAACAGGGGTCAGCAGAGGACTGGAGTGTAGGTGCAGCTGCAAATGGGGCTTTAACCTCAGTTCCTGTGCTGGGGAAACAACTTCCACAATGGGCTCGGGAAGCTGGAAGGGGACTCAGCTGGGACACAGGAGTGGGGTTGTACCTCCTGCTGTGAATGGGCAGCCCAAACCCCCCCCAGCACTGGAGGTCAGAGATAGATCCCATTCTTGTTCTGGTGTATTGTCCATGTGAGCACCCCGAAGTGCAAGCACTGACCGTGCTTTCAGTCTCCACCTGAGATTTGGGGTGAAAGGGACTTTGCAGGGACCTTGGAGAGACAAACATTTATCCTCACATTGTTCTCTGCTGAGCCTGTGCTCTTGTAGGGCTGAGACTCCTTTCCATGGGAGGAGCTGGGAGACAGAGGGACTGCATTAGGGTAACAGAGGGTGACTCTGAGGTCCCACATGACCGTGTGTATGTGTGGATTACTGGCCATCACTCAGTTCCTCAGTGTAGGGCCATAGATCAAAACTGCTTGGAAGGGAACTTGAAAGCTATCTAGCCAATTTCCCCATCCAAGTAAGCATCAACTTGCCTTACATCATTCCTGACAAATGTTTGCCCAGCCTGACCCATAGGCTCCCATTGCTGGTAAGGACTTTAGCATGCAGTGAGTCCTGGTGTTTTGTGGTTCTATCTGCTAGAAAGTTTTCTTTTGTCATGGCAGCTCTACTGTGACTAAAGCTGAGCACTTCTGAGGTGTTCTGAGGTGGAGAACAACTGCCTCTCTCCTTAGAGCACCTTCCATGTGCTCTGTCCCCATATTTCCTCACAGTCTTCATTTCTGGGACAAAGAACTCCAGCACTTCTTTCTGTAGGCTGCTTGCACATCCTTCTCTCCGTGCTTGTGAAATGTAAGGGGGATTATATGTGCTTCAAACTTGTTAGAGGTGATAGTTGTGCCTCTGGTGAGTGGGATAATAAAGCTGCTAGAGCTCACCCTGTTACAGGGCAGTCATTTCTCAAGTGAAGACCAGGGCAAAACTTGCATTAACTTTTTTGGTGTCTGGGGAAGTTACCAAAAACTATTTAAGTTTTAATGAACTTGAGGAACAAATGAGAAGGCTTCTTTCTCACACTCAAGAAGATAACGAGGTACCAAGAGAGACTTAATCCAGTTTCCAGGCTATTTCCTCTTCCATAGATGTTTTGAGATGCTTTGAGATGCTTTGAATTCAGTGTCAGAAGTTTCAGATATTGTTCTGTGGAGGGTCATGTCACAGTCCTCCTGTTTCTTTTCCTTGGGAGCTGCTGGCAAATCTCAGTGTGGTTGATGCAGTCTCTGGTGAGCACAGGGGCACTTATATGAAATTCATCTCATCTGCTGCTTGGTGACAGGACTCAGCACCCTGCTGCAGTGTGATAATCCAGATTGGCTTTGCTGCTTTCCAGTGCAAAGCCAGAGGATGTGGGAGTGCAGAGCACCAGCAGTCACTTCTCTGCAGCGAGTGCCTCTCTGAGCACGATGAGAGCGTGACAGGGGCTGCTGCAGAGGGCTGGGAAGGTGCATCCTGTGCACAGCAGCAACTGCTGCTCTGACAGTGCACAAGTGTCAAATGGGCTGTGCTGCAGACAGGTGCAGAGAAGTGCTGCCACATATTGTGGTCTCTGGAGTTTGTCTCCGTAGTGTGGTTGATGTCAGAACTGTAGCTTTGTTTGTGGAAACTTCTAGCTCTAGAGATCTGCTTCATCTGCTCCCTTCAGCAGCACACCTGAATGGTCACCCTTCAGTGTTTTGTGTGCTCATCTCAGCATTTTGGGCAGAGTGGCATCTGAAATCGATGTGATTTGAGTGGCAGCTGCTCTGTCAGCATTACAGAGATAACCATGAGCAAGGTTGCTCCAGGGTGGAAGGCCTTAGAACCACTGCGTGTGAACGAACTGCTGCCTGGGAAGGAAGAGGTCTTGCCTCAATGTTCGCTCTGGTTCAGCTTGCTTTAAAGGTCTACATAAGTAGTTTCACACTTCATCCTTTCTTTTGTGACAACTGCAATGTTCTGAGATCATCCTGTCCATGGCAGGGATTCTCAGGTCCTGGGCTGAAATTTGCAACATGGCAAAGAAGAGTTTGCCATCCAAATATCCAGTGGCAACAGGTGTGGTAGGAAATGAGGCATAGCAAGAGAAGAGCCATGGCAGAGTCACAGCAAGGGCTCAAATGCTCTCAGTGGCAGTTCTGGCAAACCCAGCTGTAGCTGTACTTTTCCTCCCTTAACTGGTATTTTAAATAGTGTCCATCCCAGCTGTTCCTTGGAAGGATGATGGTGCCTCGAGAGCAGAAAGCAGTGATTGTTATTCCTTGATGGAGTGTGAGAGAAATGTTCGATTTTGAGAGCCGTGGTGTTGGGATGTGACAGGAGGGTAATTTTCACACTGTATTACTGACACAGCCATTGCTAAATGCTGCAGGGCCTGGAGGCACACACATAGCAGATTGGAGGAAGAGAGAGGTGAAGAAACCATTGCATGAAGCTCATCTAGGGAAGACAAGATTCTTGGGAAAGGGTGTGTTAAAGCTGAGGTTTTAGGAAGGAAGGCCTGTGCTGCCACATTCCTGCTTTGCCACCCTGAAATCATAAGTAGAAGTGTGGGACTGAGTCTCTATAACATGCAAGTTGTATGTAGGAGGCAAACTGAGAGTTTCTGCTTAATGCCCGCACTTCAGCAGGTGAGTGGAGCCCCTTCTGCAGTGTGGATGGGTTCCTGTGGACCACAGATGATGGCAAGCAACAGTGGACAGAGCGCAGCGCTCTTGTTGATCAAGAGCAGAGCACTCTCAGTGTGTCACAAAGATGCCACTGGTCTATTTCTACAAACACAGTTTCTGTGGAAGTTTCCAGGCTGGGTGTGAGTATAGGGGAGGCATAACTCTGGTTCTTGAGGCATGTCCTCAGAAATGGGAGATTCTGATTTCTCCTTTATGCCAGCTGCTGCCTATAATTTAGCTCCTCACCTGCTGTTTCTTCCTTTCTTCGTGGTCAGCCTGTCCCCCATGTTTTGTACAGACCCAACAGCATGCTTACAGTGGGACTTGTCCATCAGCTTGGTAGCACAGTGCCTGTGGCCATGGGGCCCTTACCTTGGCAGCCTGAGCTGCTGCAGGAGCTGCAGTACCCAGCGGTGCTGGTGGGAGACTGGCTTCTGCCATCCTCTCTCTTCTTATTGGAATACTCATGTGAGACTGTCTGGAATGTGAACACAGTTGCTTGGGTTGTTGAAAAAGGCTTGAATTATTATGAAATTCCTGGCCTGGTATTTGGCTGATGGTTAATTACTTAGGTTTGCATAGTACTTTGATGTTCCAAATGTAAACCCTGAGCAAGCTGTTACAACTGTGTTGACCTCACTGAAGTCATCCCAGTCATCCAAGTTGGCACACCTGGTGCTCTGTGGTATTTGTATTCTGTGAAACCAGCATCCAGTCATTGATTTAAGTCTTTCCAGGGACTGGAGGCTGTTAAGCTGTTAATTTTTTTTCCTCTCCTCTATTGATTGCTGGGCCGCTTACCAGCAGTGACCTTCTCACCACACCTTTTGACTTTGAGCTTGCTGCCTCTCTGGATTCCTTCTCTGAGCCTTTGCAGTTTGTGGTGTGTTTGTATTGCCACAGTGCTTAGAAACTCATCACAGGTTGCTCCATTTCTCTCTAAGTTTTCCCTTCTCTACTCCCCCGCCAGTATCTTGTTGTGTAATTTTCCCCCAGCCAATGTTGTTGGCTTGCATAGATAAATTTCTTGATGATGGACAATTTGGAGTAACCTTGTGACAGAAAAATCCCCCTCTAAAATGCAGTTGCATTGTCCTCCAGTGATTTGGCAGCTGGTGGGGTTTGCTGGGTGGAGTCCTGGTGCTGGCATGTGCTCTCTCTGCTTGAGAAGAGCAGATTAAGATCATACTTCACTTAAATAAGGCTTCTTCATTTAATGTGGATGGGCAGCAGGCACTCAGGCTGAAAGTAGATTTTGTACTTTAACTTCCAGGTCAGTGGGTTTTTTGTCTTGTTTGTGTCAGCAGACGGTAGGCCTTTGTTCAGCAGCACAACTTTTCCACCTCAGCAACACACATGCATGTGATGCAGGTCCTGAGTTGTGCAATAAACTCCAGGAAATATATTGTCTGTTCCACTTCAGTGTGTGATTGTGTGCCCTATTGACCAGCAATAAAGCC